GTCGCCAGCAGCTTGCTTGGTCGAGCGTTGCTGAGCCCCTCGGCTGATGTGCAGCTGGCACGGCGCAAAATCCCGGTTGGGTTCGGGAAGCCCTCCTGACGTCTGAGTCTAGTTTGTTTGTTTGAGCCTACGGCTCCACCGTGCTCCGAACACATGTCCTGGTCGGTCAGGTCTCGTGCAGGTGGTGCAGCGCATGTTGCCTGCTCCGTTCCCTCAGACGATCGTGCCCTCACCAGCCATGGCCCTAGCTTCAATGATCTTGGAGCAAGCTTGGCTTAGGGGCTCCCTCGAACATGAACTCAAGCCCTAAACACCAACTTTCAATGTAGTGCCTGTGCCAACCGAATTCGTCCGAACTGCGAGAATCCAAGCCCTCAATGTGATAGCTTTCATGCCACGAGTCGTTGGGATTTTCCCTGCTAACCTCGCCTAGCTTGCCGAAAGTGTCAAGAGAACCGCTGAACCCAGAGAACCCTTGAACCTCAAGCTTCGGGGAGCCCCAACAAAGCCTCGTCAATCGAGGAGGCGGCAGATGCCTTCTTAAAGAACTTGGCTGCCGAGCACACGCAGACTACGTCTGAGGCAGTAGCATGCGCAGCTGAAGTAGGTTTGATTTCTAGGTAGAGTTTCGGATTTAGGGCCACCCACCTGTAACATGTTGCAAGACTGCATGCTTCGACTCCTAAATAGCCTTTGCCACAGGCTCTCTGACTCCTGCAACGATCCATGATCCGGTGTCGCAACCCCTGTATCCAATTTGCAAAGGCGCCTCCCCCCCCCCCCCCCCCAACAAAAAAAAGCTAGAAAGGGCGCTGATATCCATAGTGACTCCCACCAGGTGCAGTTTTGCACACCAGCGACAAAAGGACGGCTGGATTCGGCTGGATCATTGACCCTGAAGCACTCGCCGTGACTGCGGCTCAAGGGTGCCGCGGTGCCCGCAAAGGCCAGCAGCCTGGGGGCCACTTTTCTAGGACCGCAGCTTCCGGAAAAAACGCCATGGACTCCCAATCTGACTCCCCGAAGCTGTCTCAGAGAGCACCGACGAAGAGTGATGGGACCGTTTCCACAATGGACACCGTCAGTTTGGAGCCGGAAGAGGTCGAAGCAAGCAAGGAGAGGCCTGCAGAGGAGGCGACACGGAGATGGTGTTGCCACTGGCTTCGGGAGCTCTATGCCGCCTTCGGCAACTTCATCCCCTTTGCAATCTTAACCTATGGCGTGAACCAGAGCATTACATTTGCCATAGGGGGCTTTGCCCTTCGCTTCTACATGAAGGATGTGCTGGGACTAGATGGTGCTACCATGGGACGGCTAACAACAGCCGCGGGGCTTCCATGGAATATGAAGCCCTTCATGGGCCTGCTGTCCGATGGGGTGGCCTTCTGTGGCTACCACCGCCGATCCTACATCGTCCTTGCCGCAGCTGTTGGCTTCGCCTCGTATGTCTTGCTCGGGACCTTGGCATTGCCAGCTGCCGCGCTGGTTGTTGTGATGATTGCGATGAATCTCTCAGTCTCCACGACGGACGTCATCGTGGATGGTAAGGGTGCGGAACTCTCGCGCCAAGTGCCGCATCATGCGTCTGATCTGCAGTCACTTTTCTGGGGTGTCGGGGCGCTCTTCAGTCTGGTGTCTTCGAGCTTGAAGGGATCCCTCATCGAATGGTTTTCGCCCCAGACGGTGCTGCTGAGCTTGACGGCTTGCTCAGCCAGCCTGCTTCTACCCGCTCTCTGGGGCTGGTTGCCCGAAGAAAGGATTCCGCATGCACGATGCGTCGTGAAGCTGGACCAGTTCCGGAAGCACCCGTCCGTGTCCATGATCGCTGTGCTGTTGACCCTCGTTTCCACCTGTTTGTCCTCCGTTCAGGTGCTGGTTCCCAACAAGCAAGCCAGAGCTGCGGTCACGGTGCTTTGTGCTGCCGCCGTGGCCACGCAGTCTTATCGAGCATTGAAGCAGATCACGCCATACTTGGGCAGGACTGCGCTTTTCATCTTCCTCAGGCAGAGCTTGCAAGTCGGCCTTGGTGAAACGATGTTTGTATGGCTGACGAAGTATCCCGAAGGCCCGCAGCTTAGCCCCTCCAAGCTGGGCTTCGTCGACTGCTTTGGGGCCCTTGGCCTTCTCATCGGGGTTTGCATCTACAACAAGTACATGACCAGCTGGTCCTTCCGTCGAATTTTCCTCACAGCACAGCTCTCCGTCTTCTTTGCCCAGCTGCTGGAGATCGTTTTGGTGATGCGGTGGAACCTCTTGATTGGGATCCCCGACTTCCTTTTCCTGGTGGGTGACGACACCTTCGGATTCTGGGCCCTTTTTGTTGGGGATTCTGATTGAAGCTGCCGCTATATAGTTGGGATACACGGTACGCCATAGTATTGTCACGTGCCATTAATTTTTCTTAAGTACTCTGGTAGCGTAGCTGAAGTTTCTGAGGCAAGTCAAGAGCCGAGGATTGCTGGTCTCGAGGTTCTTTTTCATTCCGATGTGCGTGCTCGCGGCAAAGGTCTGCCCGCCGAACCTTGAGGCAACCTTGTTTGCGACCTCGTTGTCTCTCTCCAATTTTGGCGGTGCCGTCAGCGGATTCTTGGGCGTGACTATGTGCGAGGTTTGGGGCCTCGTCGGGGATAACTTCGACAACTTGCCCTATGCCAGCCTGACGAAGGCTTGCACAGCACTTCTTCCAGTGCCCCTGATCTTTGCCTTGACGCCCACCTTCACGCCGAATGATCCGGTGCCCGAGGAGGTCCAAACGGGCGAGTCTCAGGAACCCGCATCCGAGAGGTCCGAGACAAGTCAGGCAGCGCCTCGCGGCAGCCGAGCTTGGCCTAGCGTAGCCTAGCGTAGCCTAGCGTAGCCTAGCGTAGCGGGCCACGGTCGTGGCCTGCTCTGAGGTTTCTTCGGGCTGAGGTTTTGGCCCAGACCCAGAAATTCCGAGCAGTGTTCTCATGATGGCTAGTCCGACCATGTCTGACCCCCAGCGTGGTTCTCCTGGTCGGGTCTTGGGAGTATCCGGGCATGGTATATTTTAGTTACTTGCCGGCAAAGCTGTGACCGGTGACTACTTGTGCATGGGCTTTTCCCCCGTGGGGGAGCAGGCAATAGTTCCTGACGGTGACTCCCGGGCAAAATGCCAATGACTTGGTGGCTGAAAAGGTACATCATGGGTCAAGGTGGGCATATTCGAGCAACCACCAAGGCTCACAGTGCATGCTGATTCGACGAGGCCGCTCACAAAGGCTCACAAGGAGTCAAAAAGGACTACAGGGTTCAGGGCGCAGACGGTTTGGACTCGATAAGACGTGGTGCCACAACACTCTCCGCAAAAATCGGTGTCAGGTAGGTGTGGTGGCGTTGGCTCAAAAACTACTGCAATCTGCAGGACTTAGCCAAACTCTGCTTCTCACCTCAAGCCTAGCGCCCATTCTACATCCTGGTATCCGACAGGTCGCGGAAGGCTCCGAGCACGAGGAAGAGTCAGAGCCCCCATGGGATCCGGAATACCTGGAGGTCGCTGTTTTGTCTTTAGTAAGGTTTCTACACAGTGGTTCGTCAGAGAGATTCCCTACAAGGGTTCCTGGCGAGAGTTGCGTATGCGTGTCAGGATTCCACATGGTACAGACCCTGTGTTATCGACATTCTTAGGGTCATCATCTATTTCAGCCTCCTACTACGAGCTGCGGCTGCGACTGCGGCTGCGCCCGCGGCTGCGGCTACCGACGACTACTACTGGTCCTGATAACCGTTTGACTTCAGCAACACTTCTGCAACCTCTGTGCCCTTCCGGTTCTGTATGTTTTTGCAGTGTTCCAATGACAGTCAGTGTTTTTCTACTCTTATCCAGAGTTATTAAGCCTCATCTCTCCTGCTGCTCTTCTGCCGCTTGGTAGTATTGTGGGTACTACGCGGAGTTGTCGCGCTCTTGGAGGAGGTAGCTTCAGAAAATTCAGGGGACCCACTGTAGCCCCAAAGTTTTTGGATCCTTAGAACCAGGACCTGCGCAAGGGACCCCAGTTTCGGACCGCCCCCCGGTGGGTACTTCGGCTTGTTTGCCTGCTTGGAGGTCAATGCGCCACCAGAGCCAGTGGGAAGCCCCAGATGCTTGCTAGTTTCGAGGCCTCGACAATTCGACTGGGCTTTGGGTGTCAGAATTCGTGATGGATGGCTTAGGGCTCCCAGAGCACGTTCAGAACCGGTTCTCTGCTCCTTTGTCCAGCTCTGCACTTCCAATTCGTGCGAGGGTTTGTTTTGGGGTGGGACCAGATGATTCCCACATCGGCACCGTGGTTTTCAAGATCTTGTTGTGCCTGTCCGCAGCTTTTCAGTTGGGGGTTGAGGGGGATGCCGGAGCTTTAGGGCTTTAGGCGCTACGGAGACCGAGGCCTTTGCTCTATCCCTAGAGAGCCAGGAGAGGTACAGGAGACCCCGCGTACCGGCGTAGGTTTCACCCGGATTTGGTCCCTTGAGCCATCCTCGGCCTTCGGAGCCTTGGGCCTTGGGCGCCGAAATGGAAGGTGCGGAGCAGGGGACCCATGTGGAGAGACCGGGAAGAGCAGCCTGCACGATGATATACCAAGCAATAGCAACAAGAGTACTAGCAACAGTCATAACATGAAGCTCTTCGTCAGTGGAAACGATGGTCCACAGCTTGCGAGGCGCGCCGCCGCCGAAGCCTGCAGAGGGGCCGCATGAGCAGCATCGCGCCTTCGTCAATGCACCCTTCCAGCACCTTGGCTGTGGAATCCGGCTGTAAGGTAGCGAGACGCAAGAAAAACTCCGGAAGTCTCAACTTGCTCCGATGGCATTCTCGAGGCAATTCGGTTCTTTCCGTCAGTTTCGCAGCACCCCTCCGGACTAGGCTGTGCTTTGTAGCTGGAAGGCTGAAGGTGGAGACCTACGAAGACTTCGCGAAGCTGCTCCCCAGCCTTGGGCAGGAGGCCACTTCCCGGGCCAGCGTGGAGGAGGGGGAGTCAGGGAGGGGGGCACCAGCTGAGATACAGAGCCGTTTGCGTGATAAGCAGGAGGAGTTGCGGAAGCTCAACATTGACCCCAAGATCTTTTACAAGAGCCGGCAGCCGCTGAAGGTCAGTCAGTACACGCCCGAGGACGTGAAGCTGGCCTCTGCTTGCCTTTTGCAGCGGAGATGCAGCTACCCTGCCCTGCAGCCCTCATCACTGAACTCGGTCTAAACCCACCCTGACTGAGCCTTCAAAACGAAAGCCCCCCAAACCCCTAAGCTGACAACTCTCCTCTACTTCTAAAGGGGCCTCTGTTTTTTTAGCTTCAGGACTTCGGCTTCGAGCCCGAGACCGAGGACTTGCCGCCCCTGCCGGCGGGTTTCCACCCGCCGGCGCGCGGCGCGGAGGCCGAGGTTTTCGGTGGGCTTCCGGGAATTCCGGGAACTTCGGGCGGTTCCACAAAAAAGGGCCTCCGATTGAAGGGGGTTCCTTCGAGACTTTCAAGGAGTTCCTTGCGAGGGTTCCGAGAAGGGTTCCGGTATGGGCCCCGAAGGCGGGTTGTACGAGAGGCCGGCAGAGCTTGAGCAGTTTCTCACCGTGCGCGCGCTTGAGCGGGAAAGTTGCCCCACGCCGCCGTCAGGATGCTCCAGACAACGAAGGCTGGGGGCCGGCTAGGGTGTTCTGCAGGATTTTCTCTATCATGGCTTTTCGTGGGTTTGAATGCGATGCACGTCCTTGTGCGTGGGAGTCTTGGAACCCGTAGTCTTGCCCGACCTGTGCAACAGCATGTTCTTCCCCAACATCCTCCTTGTCAGCATCGTTCTCATCATTACCATCAGAACCATCAGCATTGCCATGGCCTGCACTTCTTCTGCTGCTGGCCCCGTGCCATCCAAACAAACCCTGATCAGGGCATAATTTCTTGCATACAGAAGCCTTCAGCAACGCCTTGCCGAGGCAAGACGCCGATGAAATGGAGAATCAGCCCAGGGATCAACTCTGTCTTGGGCGTGCAGGTCGGGAAGTGCCAGGGTTCAGGATTCGAAGCCCCTGGAGCCCCAACGATGCTAAAGCAATGAAGAAGCCCTGCTTTGCCACGGTTAGGTCGTGGTCTCCGAACTTTTGCATCTTTGATGTCGCCGGCAGTATGTCGATTCCAATTCAGGGCTTGAAGAGTATGGATGTCTTGCCGACAGAAGGTGGGATGCTGGTCGTGTGGGCCCTGCGGTCCCCGACGACTTAAGACACAGTCATCCCGACACGGGGTAGATGTGCAAAAGAGCCAGATGATTCCTGGGCATAGGTAGAGCGGTTTTCTTTGTGTTGGCTTTGCGGTAGTGGATAAGCGTCGCGATGCCTGCAAGGTTGCTACTGCGAGCATGTGAACCCGTCATGGATCGACGCGTCAATGTTCGGGTTGTAAGAGTCCGGACTCTGCCGCTGCCTGGACTCACCCCTACCTCAGGCCAATGATGGTGCAGATGACCAGCCTCAAGCAGAAGCAACTCCAGCCAGAGCAAGAGATCCTGAGTGCCTTGCCAGAACAGTGGCACAATAAAGCTTCTACAGCAGCACCTCTTGCTCCAGTGGCGACGACGAGGAGCGTCTATAGTAATATTGGTATCTAGATGTTATCCAGCTGCAACTGCCGATGTTGCTACGGCAACAGCGATACCATCAACATTACATGCAAATGTAATGTAATGTAGTATAATGTACTGTACTGTAATGTAATGTAATGTAATGTAATGTAACGCAAATGTACTGTGATGTATGTATGTACGCATGTATGTATGTATGTATGTATGTATGTATGTATGCATGTATAACAGCACATACATACATACATACATACATACATATATATATACACATATGTGTGTGATCTGTACCTGGGTACGTAATGCTTTCATGTACATTTATGTATGTATGTATGTATGTAGGTAGATAGGTAGGTAGGTGGATGGGTAGGTATGTATGTATGTATGTCTGCATGCATTTGCATGTGTATGTGCGTGTATGCGTGTATGCGTGTATGCGTATGTGTATGTGTATGTGTATGTATATGTATATGTATGTGCATGTGCATATGTATATGTAGATGTATATATAAATGCAAATGTAAATGTAGATGTAGATGTATATGTATAAGTATATGTTGTATATGTATACGCATACGCATATGTAAATGCATATGCATGTGCATATGTACATGTTTGCGTATGTGTACATGTACATGTACATATGATGCAGACATATTTTGTAAATTACATAGTTGTGTATTATGCTTTTGTATATCATATATCATATATATATATATGTATGTCTATGCAGATGTCTCTGTACAGATACATGCACCATACATACCTACATGTATATATATATGTACATGTACATATACATGTCACACACACACAGAGGCGCATACATGTATACATATATACAGATAGATAGATAGATAGATAGACAGATAGATAGCGAGAGAGAGAGAGAGAGAGAGTCTCTCTCATTACAGCAAAACTTCGAACTACATGCGTACTTCTCACACCCCCTGAAAACCCC